TGATAGAGGTTTGATAGCTGTTTATAGCTGTTAAATGTCAGTCTGATAGCTGTTTGATAGCGGTTTGATATAAGTCTAATTGCGCTTCAATGCGAAGAACGAATAAAAGAAATGCTGAGGTAGTGTAATTTTTCGAGCGCGAGATATACCTTCGATCGAGGCATTGTACTTTCGTCGCTGATATAAAACGTTAGTGATGTAAGTATGACAGATAAATGCTGAAGTTTCTCCATGGAATCTCGGATGTGAGATATACTTTTCAGCTGAGGTATAACCTTTTGCACGTGGTACTATACATGGACGGAGGATTCTTTTTCATAATGATATCACTATGTCACGTACATTTTTACTATAAATTCTCGCACAGCCTCCGCGGTCAATTAGTCTGCTTGTCTGCGAGAGAGTTGCTCAATCTATCAATCCGATTTGGAAGAAATAAAATGGAGGACATCAATGACCTTGTAGACGCTGGTGAAATTATCCGTATAAACGCGGATATATTATCAGAAAGTGCGGCTTGTTTATACGACAGTATAAGTACTATTTTAAATTCAGTTGTGGATATAACACCCCAAATTCCTTGGATGTAACTTTTACCCTTACAAATAAGGACTGTATAATGGCTAAATGGTAGGTATTATATTAATTTTATTGATACAAATATATTCGTATGTTCGTGTTGGGATCATGTGTTGTCCATTTACGTGAATGTTATCATGTGTTAAGATTCCGTTCATGTGTTGTCCGTTTACGTGAGTGTTATCATGTGTTAAGATTCCGACATTTACTCGGAGCACACAGATCATTTAATTCGCATTTGTCAGATTATTAATCTCATGAATATGTAATTGTTTCAGTAAAACAATTTTGGATCTTCTTAAGAGTTGTCGTACACTGATGGAGGGAATAATAAATATTGTATAACCAATCCAGGAAGATATTTCAACTTTAGGTAAAAGAATGAGTGTGGAAAAATATAGTGGAAAAATATAATCGTGGTGATAATAATGGTGATGATGGATCTACCGGAGGTCGCTCATAAAAATACAGGTGAATTATACATTTTGATATTGATGCTTACTCGTATCAAAGAGAAAGTCTAATTTTGTATACCGTTTTTTACAGTGCATCTTCAAACAACTAGTTTAAACGTGATCTGAAATACCATGGCTTTATATCTATTATACGTAATCCAAACTTCTACATTTTTGCATTGGTGTATATGATGATTGATATAATGAACTGTATTAAAAGCATATAAATCTAGAGAGTTTAGAAGAGAAACATTAAACTAATTTAGTTATTATTAATGTGCATGTTGTTATTTTGACGCTTATAACTTGTTGGGTATATAATACTCGTCTTTGACATAAATAAGCCTTTTAACTATTAATTCTTTCTAATCGCTATTGTATTTTAGTTCTATTTAATAAAAATAATTGCATATTTTATATTGCTCAGTGTTCAAAATTACTGTTTCCCATACTCCTTCCATTCCATATCTCTGCGGTATCGCGTTACACCGCGCTCTTGTTAAAATAGAATAAGAAACTATTTCTATTAGATACTTTTAGAGTATACTTTTAGAAAAAAAAACTTCAAATTATTTTGCTATAAACCATACATATATATAAATCTTTGCGTGCGAAATGTAGTATAAGGGGAAGAAGAAAATGTCTACATTTA